CTTTTTCTGTGATGCCTCTCCTCTCCTGGCTCTTTCTTGCTCAGACAACAACAAAAATGAGATGCTTTTGTTAATTACTGTGGGCTTCAATATAATGTTTTCTGTCCTGGTCATCTTTATCTCCTACTTGTTTATATTTATCACCATTCTGAGGATGCGCTCATCTGAAGGACATCAGAGGGCTTTTTCCACCTGTGCTTCCCACCTCACTGCTGTCTCCATCTTCTACGGGGCTGGCACCTTCATGTACTTGCAGCCCAGCTCCAGCCATTCCATGGACACAGACAAGGTGGCATCTGTGTTCTATGCCATCATTGTTCCCATGCTGAACCCACTGGTCTACAGCCTGAGGAACAAAGAGGTCAAGAGTGCCTTTAAAAAGGCTGTGGGGAAGGCAAAGTTTTCTGTAAGATTCATATTTTAATTATGTAGAATCAACAATAAGATAATTTCATACATTACAGTCAACATGGGGGAAACACTGACTTGCTAGATCAAGAGTCTTATGAACTCTTGGAGTACTTTTCCCCGCACTCCTTTAAGTCTATGAAGCTAATGTGTTGACAAAGCGAGATCTCAGGAATCATAACTTTTGAAGAACCAACAACAAACCTATAATTCATGTTTTAAAAATATCTTCTAATTACATTTAACCATACATTTGTTTCCATGATTATTCACAGAGCCATATGCACATTTACAGTCACATACATAATTAAGTACATGCCCCAAGCACTTCATTCATGAAACCACATGTAACTCACATATGCATGAGTGTATAGAAAAGTGAATTCAAGATATAAATGGGATTAGTCTATTTTTATAGTATAATTTGAACTTTAATTGATTTTGGTGTCTGCTAACACATTCTTAAATATAAACATATATTTTAAAATAGAAATCTTCCTTTTGTATATGATTTTTAATTTTATTTTTAAAAACTCTTTATTTGAAAATATTTCTTTTTAATACTTAATTAATTAATATTAATATTAATGTCAATGTTAATATTAATATTAATTAATACTTAATATTCATGCCAAACATTCTGGCTATAGGATTAGTACTGAATGATTTTATTTATTTTGTTCTTTCTTCAATGACAATAAACATCATTATATGGGCATCTCTATTTAGCTCAATTTTCATCTTCCTTGACACATTACCCAGAAGTAATATCTTCATGTGACAGTTTTGATTAAAGAAAATCAGAACAGAGCATAAAATAAGGGAAACAATCATGAAAACATATTTTTTCATTGAAATAAAAATAGTGATTTTACAAAAGGCTATATTCTTTGTCCTCAGATGCTCAGCCTAGGACATAGTTTGTGTTCCTTCCTTTGTGTATACAGTCAGGACACCAACTGATAGATCATCATTCAGGCTCAAATTAGAGGTCGAGCTGACTGGTCCTCACCAGTCTCTAGGAATAACCTAGCCTAGCTTTTGCATTTTGGTGTGTTAGAATATTAGGAATCATTCAGAAGGATGATAAGAATAATAAAGACATCTTTTAAAAAGGAAAACAGTGTCCAGTTTTACTGAGCCTAAAGACAATTTCTTCGAATTATAAATACTAGAGATATTGGTTTTTCTTTGAACATTTCTTTCTTAGCTAAATGAGTTAGAATACATTTAGAACACACATAAAATATATATTTCTTTCAAAACCATGGACTCATATATAGGAAGTGTGAAGTATACTTTTTTCACTTGATGTCTGGAATCAAGTATTAGGCTCCTGTGATTTGATGTGAAGTGCCAAATGATTTGTTATGGAATGCCAGAGATATTTAAATATATGGGACATATCCTTCAGAACCAAGTGAACGATCACCACAACCGATTGTCTCTCCTGATAGGGAAGGTTTTTCCTTTTGTAGAAAAGGAACTGGTATTTCCATTTTCCACAAGTTATCCTTGTAAAACCCTAAAATCTCCTTGGAATATTTTAAGTGTGAAGAATCAGTTCACATAGAGGGAGGAGAAGCAAGATGGCGGAGTAGAAGGACACTCGTAGCTCACCATCTCCCACAAATACACCAAAACTCACATCTATGGACCCACTAGGCCAACCAGAGCATCTGCCGAACTCCAACTGGACATTGCCCTCCTCAAAAGACTAAGACGCCAAAAATCTGGTAGGAAAAAAGAAAGAAGAAAAAGCAAAACAGTGCGGGACCAATCCCATGGGGAGGGAGCAGCAAAGGAGTACTGGCGCTCGCTGGGCCTCCCCTCTCCAACGGAGAGGCCAGTGGGATGGAGGGGGAGCCTCTGAGGCTCAGCTCTGCCCCGAGCACCCTGACAGAACTGAGTTAAATGGGCACAAAGGGTCCCCGCGACACCCAGCCTGAGACACGAGCAGGCAGCTGGGACCGGGGCAGGCGGCCCGAGCCGGGCGGAGGATGCGGACGGCTGCACTGAGGCGGCCCCAGGGGACTGCAGGGTGCTGAGTGCCGTGGCTGGGAGGGGATACGGTGCGAACAACCTCCGTCCCCCATAAATTGCAAAGAAAGCAAAGCAACATGGCTAGTGTGCCCTGGGGGAGGGGTGCCATAGCCTTTGTCTCCTCAGACCTGCGCCACCATTACTGGCACTTCTGGTGAGAAGAGAGGTGGGGCACAGCCACAGCCACCACATCCTCCTGTGCGCAGTGCCCAGGCAGGGGCAGGGCTGAGGCCTGAATCTGCACCTGAGGGCTCAGCAACCTCCTAGGCAGGACTAAGACTTGTTTACAGCAGGAGGCAGATACCATCTTTCTGCCCTGATACCTCAGAAAACTCGTGCCACCAAGACAAATGAGCTGAGATTTGGCACGGAACAGAGGTAGGGCCATTCAGCTGTCTTTCCCGAGCCCGCCTTCTGAACACCAACCCGAGGTGGAGCGGGCAGCTGCACAGAGCAGCAGAGCGACTGGCACCGGGAAAGGGTGGGCAGCAACCTGCTTTCCTGGCAGGAACGCAGCACCTGACCACAGTGCTGGGAGGAGGCACAATCCACCCACCTGCCACCACTGAGTGCAGCATCTGACCGTGGCATCAGGAGGGGGAGTGACCCGCCCACCCACTGGATAAGAGCTCAGCACCTGACCCAGTGTTGGGAGGGGGCATGATCTGCTAGCCAACAGCCTCTGGGGGCAACACAGAAGACGGTGCCAACAGAGGGCCTCTGGAAACATCAAGCTGAGTTAGCGAAACAAGGCAAAGACACAAAGACATCTCAATAAAATCATTAAAAGCACAGTGTCTCCAGGAGAACTAGATAACTGATACTCCTTATGCCACAGTGCCAGAGAGATATGAGCAATATGAAAAAGCAGAGGAACCACTTCCAATTGAAAGATCAAGAGAAATCCCCTGAAAGCACAATCAAGGAAATAGACATTGATGGCCTACTAGATCAAGATTTCAAAAAAGGAGTGATCAAAGTACTGAAGGAACTAAAAGAAATAGTATTTAGAGATATAAAATATGTCAAAAATGAAATAGAAGCTATAAAGAAGAACCAAGTAGAATTAGTAAACTCATTTGCTGAGATGAGATCTGACATAAAGGCTGTACAAAGCAGGCTAGATAATGCAGAGGAATGAATAAGTGACCTAGAAGACAGGACAATAGAAAGCACCCAATCAGAACAGCTGAAAGAAAAACAAATAAAAAACAATGAAAACAATATAAGGGACCTATGGGATAATATAAAGCATGACAATCTATGCATAATAGGGGTTCCAGAAGGGGAAGAAAGAACAAAGGGGATTGAAAACGTATTTGAAGAAATCATGACTGAAAACTTCCCAAACCTAAA